ATAGAATAGAACCGCAAGAACATTTTCTTAAAAATAATAGAAAACTTAATAGAAATCTAAGCAGAGTTTTAAGATATGAAGTCTATTCAATAATAATGGATTTATTTGTATAGTCCATTATTATAGCATACAGACTGAGACTCAGACTACGAATTCGTGAATGCATTTCAACTTCAATGTACTGGAAGACTTCAGCAATAAAATCTTCTAATATGACGGCAGGTATGATGATAGCGGTATGTACAGGTTTTTAGATATTTCGAAAATGTTTCAAAAGCACGCTATTTCTTTGGCTCTATATATCTTTGCATAATGCTATGAACAGTTCTTTATATATTCTCAAAGTATTCAAAAAGCACCCTTTTCGGCTAGATGCAGCTGTTTGTACGATGTTATGAGCAGATCTTTATGTATTTTGATACTTTTTTCTTGCGACACCCAACCCGAGGTGTAAATCTGGTATCATTTTCTTTCTTGGTGGCTGTGGTTAGAGCCTATATATATGTTACGCGGGTAGATTGCCTGTATTCATATACTTTTATTTAATGTGGAGTTGCATTTTCCAACCAGGTGCAGTGACCCAAAGACTAGCAGAGGTGATAGAGAGGCCTCTCTCCTCACCAAGGAGTAAACTACATCCTACGTATACGTATACTATTGGAACTGCGGAGCTCCAATGGAGCAGTTACTGGCACATTATACTGATATATGTGTTAAGAGTATCGTGGTGTTGATCCTTCATGGCAGATAGTTATATTAAAACACCATTATTGTTTAAGATTAGGTTATTGTTGCTATCGGAATGATTGCCTGAATTGCTGCTACTACTGTTCTCATCATCGCTTGTGACATCTTCGACGCTGTCATGTTTCTTCTTTAGTGGAGGCGAGTAACATGTAATGGATGAATTGCTGGGTTCAGTTAGTATTTTAGATTCCTGCATCAACATCACGTAGTTATTTTTCGTAGTTACTTTATCACAAACAACTACGGGCAGTATGTCTAGATCCGTGGTTTCCAACCTTTTTCTGACCAAGGACCATTATGATATTTTTGTTTTTAGTAGAGAACACAAAATTTAAGAATAATAAAAGTATGATTATTTTAGTATACTTTATGCTTCTCTGATTAAATGCATAATGAATTGTATAATTGCATAAGTACATTATATAGGCTATTTGAAATATAATAACTTGAAAATTTTTTGTCTTTATTTTCTCAAAAGTGAGGTCTCAGTAGATAAACCACAAGTCATGTATTCGTGCCTGTTAAATTTGATTCCCAAACCATTTTTAATTATCTCGTGGACCACATGTGAACCACAGACTCCGGTTAGGTCTAGATGTTTAGGTCTTTTGATTGCGTTTTATGGATATTCTGTTAGACTAGCTTTAGCAGTGTGTATGCTGCTAGCGGTATGCTTACGTTTTGAGGAGTTTTGAATGTCTTCCATGGAAATCCTGTTTGTCTATATCGTTCACCCTATACTTTATAGTTATATTAAGAGAGGCCTAACAGCCAAAAGCCAACTTAAATGTAATTTAAGCAATCTCTTTAAAGCAATCTGTTTGACAGCATAAATATATTCTCTCTCAAATTATAAACCGCTGCAAGAGAAGCTGTTGTAAATCAGTAACACCAGCAGAAATTCTATTTACCGAATTATTTTATATTATTTTAAACTCCCGCAATCAGAAGCCATCCTTACAAAAACATGAGATTTGCATAATTTTCTTCTATTATTCATCAGTTATGAATCCGCAAGAGCGTGTTAGGCATGTGGAAAAACTGTATCTGCGGAAAAGTGCTATGCTCTCAAAGTCTCAAAATATTTAACAAACTGTCAGATGCTCTTATGCGTTTTGCAATTCAAATTGTTTGAGCAGAATTATTTCCCGACACTACTCCTGACATCAGCTGCATTGAAATGTCATAAAAATTATATACATCCTGCCATCTAAAGTTTCCTTCTTTTTGGGCTCTTATTTGAGAGTCGCACATGCAAATGCATGCGGCAAATTCGTTTGCTGCTTCAAATGCCGTCACTTTTTTGTTGCGTTCTTTGCGTTTTTTGCGTTTTTTGCGATTTTAGCGATTTTTGGGATTTTGTTTTTATTTTTTTCAGTTACTTTTCCAGCAGTTAAAAGTTTTTCTTTTCGAATTTTTTTCATTTCCATGACATTTTTATGAAAATTTATTTGTTTCACGTGCGACCAATTTCACATTCAGCATGAATGTTTTTCTCTTATTTTGCGATTTTAGTTTTTTAGAAGCGAGGCGACTTCATTGTTTCGTTTGCCATAGAAAAATCTTTTCTTTGTTGCTGTTTTGATTTAAATTTTTTCTGTTCCGAGCTTTGTGGCAGCGTTTGTGTGCCGCCAAAGAAACCAAATCTCGTTCGGAATACTTGCGTCACGTTGTAACTTGATTTATCTGCTGATTGCGGTTTTATTGGACTCTATGCAGTGAGTCTCAGGTATGCTTAGCCATTTAAAACAGATGTTGTCCTTGCACTAGACCCGAGCCAGCTGAATGCAAAATACTTCTATGTTGCTGCCACTGCGTATTGCTGAGTCTATGTTTATGCTTGCCGTCATTATTGTTACTGTAACCTTTGTCGTTGGTTCGGATTTGTGGTATTCATGCCTTTTAACGAGCTTTTGCTGATGTTGCTCAAATTTCGCAGGAATAAGATTTTGCCTCGCAAACTGTTTTACTGCGTTTCCGTTTTCTGCATACGTATGAACGCATTAACGTTTTGCTGTAGTCAGACTTCATATGCAGCGTTACCGGGTTATTGCAGCAATTTTGTTGCAGGGATAACTACGGAAGATGCCAACCAAGAATTTTAAGTATGAGACGTATGTGTTGTTGCGGCACTAAAAGTGGCAATACGTTGGCCATTCCGCACTGTGAATATGGTTTATTTACCTGACTTTCATTTGCTTTTATTTCTTACACTTTATAAGCTTAAATGATTTGTTGTGTTTTTATTACTTCCTGACTTTTACCAAAGCTGGCAACATCACCATGCGTCATCTTTGACTTGGCATAATGTGAAGCCATAAAATTTGACGCAGTAGCAACATTTTGATTTTATTTTGTGTTGGCAAGCGATTTTTCCACAGCATTAAGATAAAATTCCACTTTATTTACATGTAAAGGTATAAGAAGTGAGCTTTCAGGAATTACCAATTGACACAATGTAGTCAACTTACGCCTACGTAGTTTACTTTAAAAATATTATTGATGAAAATATGTTGGTATGTCGGAACCCACCCTCAGAAATTCCGCATATATTTCAATACTCATTTCTAGAAGTTTTGGAAACTTACAGCAATAAGAAACAATCAAGCATTTTTTCTATGAATATTCCCAGTTCTGAGCTACAGAAGACAAAAATTTTTTAAGAAAAAACTTGTTTGATAATTAGGAAGATTGTTCCTCGGTAAGGCCCAAAAAGTTTGTAACTTTTTCTATTTTAAGGAATCTTGGGAGAAAAAATCACTAAAAATCGCTACTTGTGGACAGCGAAAAGATTATTGCTGACTGGCTACTGCAACTTACTTCAGATATTCTTACAGTCTTAGGTATAGTAATAATACTACACTTATAGTAAATATTCTGTGGAACACAATTGAGATTTCAGCAAAATAACTTCCCTTCTTAGTAGAACGGAACACTAGTTCAGATAACTTGCTTACAAGTTATCTAAAAGTTCATTATGGCTAGCGTTATCATTTTGACAAGCTGGGTCTGCTGGTAGTCTCTTTTTAGAGTGAATGAGACGACTAGGTGTCTCATCTTTGTCAATCTTTGTGACTATCCGACTTTAGTCTGGTTAAAAGTAAGCGTGCGGGGTTAGGATTCCTTATCCTCGTCCGACGTTAGAATATGCTCAGTAGTTGAAATTTTCACTTTCATTTGGAAGTAGCAGTGTCTTTTGTGCAGTAGGGGTCTATAAGCAATAAAAAAGATTTATCATAGTCACAGGGTTCCACTCTCTAGAAGCTAGTATATAGTTCATTTTCTATTATATTATTCTAACTTACAAGACATCACAACATTTATTCTCACTTCAGCAACTTCAACCTTTCCGCGTTAAAAGAATGTGCACTTAACCTCGAGGAAGATTTGAAGTGATATTTTCTGTGACTGCCCGACTGGGTTTGGAAGAGTCGATAAGTAACTCAGAAGATCCATCATCCATCATGGTTATTTTCCATTTGATTCTTCTACTTGACTAGATATAATCGGTATTCCGAATCGGTATTATAATTAAGCAAGTTAAACCTGTCTTGGTTGATAGAATGGCCAAAAAACCTGCATAACAACTTCTAGTGATGTTGTCTGGGACTGTCTGATTTGGTTTTGGCCACGAGGAAAACCATGGTTTCACAGAATTTCAACTTGTCTAGAGGAAGAACTCTAGTAATATTGTCTATGATCATCTAACTAGTAGAAGAATTCTGTAACGAAAGCTACTCTCCATGCATGTTGTAAGGAAGTTCGGATCCTCATAATAAGGTTCTTGTTTACGCCTGACATCAAAAATTCCTCTTCGGGAAACAATTTAATGTTCGTTGGGAAAACTTAGTATCTAGTGTTCGGTTAAGTTCATTTGTAAGTATATTAAGATCTTCTATGGTAGCGGTTTTATATTTTATTCCGTTCTAGTAACAAGCAAGAATAATATTGTTCACGGGAATTATTTGTAGAAATAAATAAAAAAAAATTAATAAAAGTAGAGAAATTATAATATAATTTAACTAAATTTTAAGTCTCTTCACATTTCAAGTATTTTTTAAATCAAATTTTTTAGCGTCTCTTAAGCTATGAAAAACACATTTTGTCTATTACAGATGCCGCAAGTTTTAAATTCAAAAACTGATTTTTTTCACAAAGCATAACAACCGCAACAAAATATAGCAAAACAAAAAAAAAAAATTTAAAAGGTTAACTTTGTGTTTAACTTAAACTTTTTAAAAATTCAACAAAAAGTTACGAAAATTGTGCCGGCGTTAAATGATATGTAAATTTAAACGGAAATCCAGCCGATGTTCATGGCATGCCTTGGATACCGGAAATGCTTGTAATAAGAACAGAGAAAAACTCGGAAACAATAACAACGCTAACAAGTATATTTTTTATTATTTTTGTTTTTTAAATTGTTTATATTTCGTTTTATATTTAATTTGAGAAAACTCTGCTTCGCAGTTTTAATGAATTTTCTTTAAGTGCGATGCTCTGCTGTGCATGGAAACAATAAGCCATATTGCATATTAAATTGCATTCCATTTAACTAATTGAAGTTCAATTACGACTCTTAACTTTACACCAATGAAGTGCTGCATACAAGCACTATTGTGCTGTGAAACTCAAATGGAAATGCATCACGTTTTATTAGGGGTGATTGATTTCGAAATACAATAAAAAAAATGAAATAAAAATTTTATTAATTTAAGTTAATATATATAATATAACAATAGCAATATTGTATTATAACAAATTTATTATTCACATCCTTACTAATTTTTTAATAGAAAATATTGAGAAAATAATTTCGCAAAATAATTCTCAAAATAAAATATCCACACAACAAAAGACCATCTTAATTCTTTAATTTGAAACGATAAACATCCCCATTAAAATTCAATTTTGCCGGTTTCAATCAAAAGCACACGTTCAGTTATAGTTTCTAGCTAGCTAGTTTCTAGTTTCTAGTTTTTTGGGCACAGCAACTCCATATCGAATAAAAGAAATAAATTCAGCCGATCAGTACAGCCGAAACTCTGGGCTCTGCCCACCGTAGTAACAGTTTATAGCTTCGTTCGAGTACCGGAAGTGAAACTCACTCACTATCATTAATACTCCAAATAGTATTTGATTTACTGCTGTCTCCTGGTAACAGATTTACAACTCCGTTCAGGTGAAGGAAGTAAAACTAACTCACTACCACTTACACTACATATAGTATTAGGTCTACTATAGGATTTTAGTCATCTTTTACGACAGGCATACCTCACTACTGAAATATTTTTTTTACCCCTTCATACCCCCGCCCCAATTCCTTATGGGGTACAGAAAGTGATACAATAATTTTCTGCTAAGCAGACAAAGTACCATAATGACCTCGTTATAGTTTAAAGTAATGGAGCAATGTTTTCATAGCTATTGAACATAAATACTGGAGATAGCCTAAAAAAATTATGGTACAGGATGATTTTTGTGACGACTAAAATTTTACTTGGTCTAAATTGCTTCAATTACAGAGAAACTTACTTAATACTTTGGAATGTGCACTGACAGCTCACTACTTAATAGAAAAACTGGCTTATTCTATAATGATTATTTTTATGGCAGTAATTTTGTGAAGGAGTAAGAAATATGTTACACCCTTTAAGTCATATTTAGCCCGTAGAAGACCTAAAATCTAGAGGTCTCTTCCTTTAGTGGTCTGTCAATCAAACTTACAAATTAGAAACATAGTTAAGTTTATAGACTTGCCAGAGTGGTTAAGTTTTACTTAAATTCGGGAGTTGTGACTTTTTTTCTTTTCATCGTTATTTACAACGCCGAACGTCCCAGTTTTCATAAATTTTTTTGCTGAAACTACTGGGCTGATGAGTGCATAATGCTTATCCATTGGATTGGTGAGCAAGGCTGGGGTTTCAAACTAACCTGACATAATGACGAATAAGCAATTAGCAAACTCGTGCCAAGTGTGGATGCCCTCCTATATAATATATAATTGTAGCTAGTGGATCTAATGATCGCTGTGTGTATGTAAGGACTTTCTAATATCTCACTTTTAGTGATATGCGCCATATGTTATAATAGAATGTAAAAGATATTCGGAACATATTTAGTCCACTACTATCTGCTAATGCCTTCTGCATCTAAATAAAAAACAATCTATCTATAGAACAATATTCAGTCACAACATTCATGGCTCGGTCATATCTTAAAGATATGATAATATATCTTAACGATATGACCCATCCATTTCACAGTTATCAAGTTGAGGAAAAACTAACCACATTTACTGCATGTGATGTATGAGACCAACTGAAAAAGATGTTTGGGAGAAGTGGTATGACAGTCTAAAACCCGACAATGATTAATAATGAAGGGTCTACCATGTTTAAAAGTAGTGAAGAGGCTTCATAAATAGGATCAAAATATTTTCCGGTAAAACCGATCGATTTTACTTAAAATACATTTCTCCTGAGTCAGTACAGTCTGTAGGCATTATCCAGTAGGTGTTTCTTAGTATTTATAGTATCAAAGCTGGTATTTGCAATGATCTTCGGTAATTAGGATTTGTTGGATTAATTTGAAGTTTGAACTTATTAACAGATTTCTCCATCTATCCTTATGGACTCTCAGATTAATTGATTGTCCGGTCAATTGTATTTTATTTTCTTAATTGCAGGTTTGATGCTTAACTATTACAGTTTGAATATTTTTAACGAAATTATTATAAACTGAATATAATCTGCAATTTTTTGAAAAATTTAAATTATAATAGAATGCAAAGCCAGATATGAATTTATTCTAAAAAAATGTTTATAATATGTAGTGAGAAATGGATACTCTTTTGTAATATACCCTAACGTCCATTGTTTCATTTTAGTTAAAGACTAAAGAAGACAAAACGAAAATAACAAATGAAAATAATACAAAGCACGAGTATTAAAAATCAAGTTCAAATCCTTTAAGTCGGTAAGGCAAGCAGAGGATATTAAAGCTGAGCATGATTTTCGAAATGGCAACGGAAGGTATGAAATGGAATTCAAAATGAGAAATTATTATCCTTTTTGGTTTTGGTGTACTTTTGCATTAATGTTTGAAGTCAGAAGTAATGAGTTCTACTCACACAACCGTGAATGGTAAAGAAGCATAGCGCATAAATTTTTAAAAAAGTTTAGGTTTGGTTTTTGCGCCTTCAGACTTTGTTGAAATTAAAAAAGTGCAAAATTTTTCCGAAACTTTAATGCTAAAAGTAAAGCAAAGTTGGAAAAGATACACATAATAAGGAAACCACATATTATATTGCAGCAATAAATTTTTTGTGAAAATAAAACTAAAAAATGTAATCATGTACTTCCTAATGCAAGCAATTTTATTCCTTCTTAATACTAATATATTTCGGAAATTAGCCATATATGGTTTGGGCTCCACAAGCATTCATCAACCAACTTCTTGACTTTAATCTTATTGACTTTACTTGTCTGAAGTTACTATAAGTATCTCTGCAAAATTATATTGGATTAGCTTTTAAACAGTGTTAGTCCACCAGCGTACTCATTCACTGACAGGTTGATAGATTGAAAGCCAAATACTCATATATATAGATAAGCGTACAGTAGCATCATGACTTCATTGTTATTTTACTTAGTTAGCTGACATGAGGGATAAATACTAAGGTGGTTTCAACACACGTATCGAGATAATGCGCCGCTAAACGACCCATTCCGCCGACAGCTATTGAGTAAAGCTTCCTTCTTGTGGAAAAGATCCCCGACTATTGTTGTTGTTGTTATAGCCTGCGAAGATTTGCTAATGTAGTCTCCTTGGATGGTGATAAACGGAACCAGGACATAGTCCGTTCTTAGAACCGGTAAGCCTCCTTCTTATTGAAAAGCGAGTTTTCGTCGAAGCTACTTTAAGGCAGTGCATGTGATTGAGAAAATTTAACATTCTTTTTGCATTTTTTTTAGGTGTCTCTCAGAACCAACACGATGCTTTCTTACAAAGTGAATCCAAATTTCCAGGCCAACCAAAGTTGTACCTATATCACGTGGTATCACATTTTGTCTTTGGATGTTACCAATAATATGAGTATTCTAAAGCAGTGTAGGCTGATGCCAAATTATTATTAATTTAATTTTACGCCAGACATTCTTTACTTTAACATATGAGTATTCTAATTCCTGTTCTGAAGGAAGGGCATAAAAGCTCAAATAACTAATTTTCGTAGTTAGGTATCACGAAAGCGGTACGTCTATTGAAGTTTTAATGCCATATATAAGGATAAAATTTACATCTTTGGTGGGTAGTGAAACCAATCTAACAAGATTGCTATTCATAAAGTCGTTAAAAAAATATAAATGAGAAAAAAAAAATATTTACTTTTTACTTCCTTATTGGGCAAGATATCCGATGTCGGGTTCCAGTTCTCGGTACAAAATTGTCATACAGATAACACTCACAGAGAAGATAAAGTCGGTTTCCGTTACCATTAGACGTCAGGTATTCAGTAAAAGCTCTTCAATTACAAATGGGTTTAAAGATTAATTTGATCTTCGAAGATCGATGCACAGATGTTCCAGACAGTTATACAAACTTAGAGAAATCGATGGACATCGCTAAATTAATTTGTTTTGTTAAGGTTAGTATATATGGTATATGTAAGTGTGTTATATATCTTTATATACATAATTTAGTTCTTAATGAGAGGACTAACTGTTATGAATAATCGCAATTGCTCTGAAGATTAAAAACTAGACAAAGTAGAATCAAATGTACTTTTTATAATTAACTTATTTTAAAGTAAGTACTAACTTTAACTTTAAGGAATACTTTAATTTCATATTTACTATATGTGAAAAATATATCATGTAACTGGTAATACTGAGAAGAATTTTGAAGAATTTTCCGGAAAAATCTTTATTTCTTCAAAGTTATTGCTCTTGTAGTAATATTGTTACCAATATCGGATGGTTTTACTTTCTGTTCAGGTCTATTAATATTAAGTTATAATGAAAATCACTGAAAAATTTAAGGCTCCCGTAAAAATTGTAATATTATAAATATTTGACAAATTTTTTTAGATTTATATTGCCGATGTACTAAGTTCATTTTACGCAATCCAAATCCATTACAGATGATATAAATACACGATATATAATATAAGTTAACAATTTTAATATTTTATTTTAAATTTCCGACTTTTTTTTATGGACTTGTCTGCACAAGGATGTAAGGATGTAAAGTATACAATTAGTTTGGTTCAAATTAATTTATTTCGCGTGTTTAAATTTTCATTTCGGAAAATATTCCTTTCGACCTTAAAATCCGCTCAGAGCAACATTGCAATTAAATAATTTATAAACAGTTTTCAGGTACAAAATTCGATGCCGGCAAACTTTTTCACAACTTTACACCTTTTACGTACGTCATGGAACGAAATGTTGCAAATAAACGTTTCCGGTTTCCTTGTTTTCCCTTTACTTATTTTTTTTTTAACATTCCTGTTTTGTCTGTTTCCTGTTAGAAAAAATTCAACATCGTACGTGGAAAAATTTTTATTTTGCGATAATTAATCATTGCACATATTTTGGCACTTTAACAGAGTGGAATAAAATATACAACAGCAAAAAAAAAACAAATACTAATAAATAATTTGTATTTTTATTTCTTTTTTTGAATTATTTTTAGTTGATTCGTGCTTTAATTGTTTCTACCATTCATGATTCCTTCAGATTCAGAAGTTTATATATCAACGGCAATCCTATTTCTATGTAATTGAAGTTCAAAATAAGCTAGTGTCGTATGGCAAGAAAGGAAAAATCGATCAGATATTTTAAATACCTACCAAATATTTAGAAGAAATCATAAATATAACACATTTAGAAGAACTTTTGGACCGGTTGCAGAAAAAGATGGCTACTCATTCATCAGATGCAGCCATAAATTCAGCCATTTGATCGGAGTAGACCGGAATCGGTGATAGTTAAGAAAATACTGACATGACAGGCTTCTGTTCAAATAGCAAGAATAAGACCTCATCGGAAACGATAGTCGGAATATGTACTGCGCGGTCCGCACGAGGCAAATATCAAGACAATATTGATACGCTAGGCTTTTGATAAACTATCGAGAAGAAAACTTCGAAAAATATAAATCGATGATGATTTTTCTGAAGTTTTTGAACTGCATGTGTCAGAAATTGAACTCTGTCAGTTTCCTTTTTTATAAAAGATTTAGTGTGTTTGCATACAGTTCTATCTGATACCACTATCTGTTAATATAGTTGTATGCATTTAATTTTTGGATCCTATCGATGTCTCTTACAATGAGAAAAAATTTAAAAAGTATTAAAATCGGTTGAAGTTTTTCTGAACTGGCAAATCAACTATAGATTTTCACAGTGCGTTAAATCCTGAAGGAAAACAAATTGACACACACTATTCATTTGTCGATTTTAAATTCACTTCATGCTGCTATTACTGAATTTAGTATTTCAGCAAAATTTATACGGCAATGTATGTTAAAATGACGTTGAGCGACATAATCAATTCTGCTTGAATCGAGAAGAACCAGTCCGCATCTTTGGTGGAAGCACTAAGTGTCCAATGAAATAAAGGCACTCGGTCGTGTCAACTGGCGAGCCCAATCTATTGATCGGGTTAGCTGGCGGAAAATAATGGATGCGGTCAAGGATGACTTACGCCTATAATGGCCAATAAAGTAAGAAAGTAAATAATTTAAAATGCCTATAAATAGGAAATAGGAGATAGACTATTTCCAGTCTAATAGACTAAAATCGAATCTTGTTTTTTCAATTTCCCATACCAAGTTACTCTTTTAATTCCTTAACATATAGAATAACCAGATTTTCTAATAAAAATGGCTGCTAAGGTTTCAAGATTGTGTAGCCTTCTTGAAAAATGTTTAAGTTCTGTTTTTAGGATTTGCGGATACATGTGGTTTGAGAATTTGAACTTTAGAACAATTTTTAAGAACTATATCTCACGCTCTGGAAATTTATATTGTATACATACGAGTAACATAATACTATAATAATAAAGTTTTGTACTTTAAAATGATTTTAACCAAGAAAGAAGAAATTAAAAAACTAAAATCGCTCATTATTTTTTCATTTTTCTATAAGTTTTTATATACCAGTAACCCGCCTAGTCTTCTATGGAAATAAGATGGGTATGTCACAAAAATCCCCAAAGGATGCAAAAAGTGATGGCAAGTTTCCAACCCATTTTAAAATCTGATCTAGCTACTCGTCTATGGAACTAAAGTGGGTATGTCACAATAAGCCACAAAGGATGCAGTGACGTGGTGACAAGTTCCATGGGTTATTTTAAAATCTAATCTAATCCGGTTCTATGTTAAATAAGACTGTTCAGTTTTCAATAAGAAAAATTTGTAATACCAAAAATAATTTAATTTTTGTCAGCTTGTCAGCATCACCGATTATATATTCATATTCATTTTTAATTTAATATTAATGTGACACATCATCCTTCCTTGGTAACTGAATGAATCGAACCGACACGTGTGAGGCCAATAAATTTCAATTTTGTAACTCAAACCGCAAGTCAAGGAAATTTCAACATTCGAAAGCAATTAAAGATGCAGAAACCTCAAAACATTTCCATTAGCCTAACGACGTTATTTATATGTAAAAGCTTTTTATTGCTACTACGAAGAAGTACTGGAGTAAATAATCTAGCATTATGAGATATTTATTACTTGGCAGCAGCTGACGTATGCCGATATTCAGGTGGGATTGAGTGTAAAACAACACTGAGTGTCAACCTCTTCCCTTCAAGGTTGACAGCAAAGCAAGTCACTAACTTGCAATTACCAAATAAATAAATTCAAAGGCGAATGAGATTGCAATGTGCTGTGATGTAGGTCAAGG